CTAAAGTGCAGATTTCTTAATAAACTCAGTGCTAATATGTGTGTGTGTGAATGTGTGTGTGAATGTGTGTGTGTACAAAATATGAAGAGAGGACAGTTTGGTGTGTGTACGTGCTACTGAAGTGGAGAAAGGTGGAGAAATATGAGCAAAGTTGAGCATTTTATGGAATGAAGTTATAATATTTGGAGGAAAGAATTCAAAAATGGTGCAGTATTTAATATAAAAGGTTTTTAAAAGTCTTAATAAAAAACAGTTTTATTATGTAAAGGGACAATTTTTAGTAAAGGTCCTGTTCTGAAGTCTTTACACTGGTTCCTCACTGACACTAAGAAAGTGCATCACATCACTCCTGTTCTGAAGTCTTTACACTGGTTCCTCACTGCCACTAAGAAAGTGGATCACATCACTCCAGTTCTGAAGTCTTTACACTGGTTCCTCACTGACACTAAGAAAGTGGATCACATCACTCCAGTTCTGAAGTCTTTACACTGGTTCCTCACTGACACTAAGAAAGTGGATCACATCACTCCAGTTCTGAAGTCTTTACACTGGTTCCTCACTGACACTAAGAAAGTGGATCACATCACTCCTGTTCTGAAGTCTTTACACTGGTTCCTCACTGACACTAAGAAAGTGGATCACATCACTCCTGTTCTGAAGTCTTTACACTGGTTCCTCACTGACACTAAGAAAGTGGATCACATCAGTCCTGTTCTGAAGTCTTTACACTGGTTCCTCACTGACACTAAGAAAGTGCATCACATCACTCCAGTTCTGAAGTCTTTACACTGGTTCCTCACTGACACTAAGAAAGTGGATCACATCAGTCCTGTTCTGAAGTCTTTATACTGGTTCCTCACTAACACTAAGAAAGTGGATCACATCACTCCAGTTCTGAAGTCTTTACACTGGTTCCTCACTGACACTAAGAAAGTGGATCACATCACTCCTGTTCTGAAGTCTTTACACTGGTTCCTCACTGACACTAAGAAAGTGGATCACATCAGTCCTGTTCTGAAGTCTTTACACTGGTTCCTCACTGACACTAAGAAAGTGGATCACATCACTCCAGTTCTGAAGTCTTTACACTGGTTCCTCACTGACACAAAGAAAGTGGATCACATCACTCCAGTTCTGAAGTCTTTACACTGGTTCCTCACTGACACTAAGAAAGTGGATCAGTCCTGTTCTGAAGTCTTTACACTGGTTCCTCACTGACACTAAGAAAGTGGATCACATCACTCCTGTTCTGAAGTCTTTACACTGGTTCCTCACTGACACTAAGAAAGTGGATCACATCAGTCCTGTTCTGAAGTCTTACACTGGTTCCTCACTAACACTAAGAAAGTGGATCACATCACTCCAGTTCTGAAGTCTTTACACTGGTTCCTCACTGACACTAAGAAAGTGGATCACATCAGTCCTGTTCTGAAGTCTTTACACTGGTTCCTCACTAACACTAAGAAAGTGGATCACATCACTCCAGTTCTGAAGTCTTTACACTGGTTCCTCACTGACACTAAGAAAGTGGATCACATCACTCCAGTTCTGAAGTCTTTACACTGGTTCCTCACTGACACAAAGAAAGTGGATCACATCAGTCCTGTTCTGAAGTCTTTACACTGGTTCCTCACTGACACAAAGAAAGTGGATCACATCAGTCCAGTTCTGAAGTCTTTACACTGGTTCCTCACTGATACTATGAAAGTGGATCACATCATTCCTGTTCTGAAGTCTTTACACTGGTTCCTCACTAACACTAAGAAAGTGGATCACATCACTCCAGTTCTGAAGTCTTTACACTGGTTCCTCACTGACACTAAGAAAGTGGATCACTCCTGTTCTGAAGTCTTTACACTGGTTCCTCACTGACACTAAGAAAGTGGATCACATCAATCCAGTTCTAAAGTCTTTCCACTGGTTCCTCACTGACACTAAGAAAGTGGATCACTCCTGTTCTGAAGTCTTTACACTGGTTCCTCACTGACACTAAGAAAGTGGATCACATCAATCCTGTTCTAAAGTCTTTACACTGGCTTCCTGGGTGTCAAATAACTGATTTCAAAATACTGCTGCTGGTTTATAAAGCTTTGAATGGTTTAGGCCCAAAATACATTTCTGATCTCCTGCTAAATGATGAACCATCCAGATCTCTCAGGTCTTCAGGGACTGGTCAGCTTTCTGTCCCCAGAGTCAGAACTAAACATGGAGAAGCAGCGTTCAGTTATTATGCTCCAAATATCTGGAACAAACTCCCAGAAACCTGACGGTCCGCTGCAACTCTGACTACTTTTAAATCCAGGCTGAAGACTTTTCTCTTTGCTTTTAATTGAACTATTCACATCTTAAACTGCACTGTAACTTTTATTATCTTTGCTTTTTAATTAATGTTGTTAAATGCCTTTGTCTGAATGTCTTTCATTTTTGTAAAGCACCTTGAATTGCCTTGTGTTGAAAGGTGCTATATAAATAAACTTGCCTTGCCTTGCCTGGTGTGCTCCATTTTTAACGCATGTTTTTAGCACTATCTTATTTATTTTAATCGTGTTTATATTTATTTCTTATATGTTTTTATTACTTATTACATGTTTTATCCCTTTAATGTATATATGTGCATGTATTTATCTTTTTATTGTAATCAAAGCCACTTGAGGAGGGATCCTTTTATTTATTTATTACCTGGAGGCCAGCAGAACCCCCCGCAGAGAGAAACTCTTCACCGACCTGCCACCTTTTGAAATAAACAGAGCAACTCAAACACCTGTCCTTTGAAGAACCTTTTAAACTTACCCGACCTCGATCTTAGTGGTTTTTATTTCTCAGTGACATCTAGTTCATTTTTATACTATTTTACTAACCCGGTGTGCCCCCCTTCCCTCTTTTATTATAATTGTTATTGTTGGGGAGATTGTTTTAATTGCACTTATTTTATTATTGCACTTTTTTTTAATACTTATACTTTCACTTTTAATTGTATTTGATGCATATGTAGCAGGATGAGAGTCCTAATCCCTTAGAAAGCATATTCTCCTCTTTTGGCTCTTGTGAGCATGTCACCACCAGGGGGCACCCTATAAAAGGGCAGAGGTTTCTAGCTGGCTGTCTCTTGTTTGTTGGTACACAGACCCGCCCCACTTGCGTGTTTGCCGTGTTTGCTTCTGCCACCGGTGCAGGTATGTTGCAGTTGCATTGCTCGCTTCAGGAAAGGTTCTGCAATTTGCCAGCGTATTGATACTTAGCCCTGCTTTGCCTCACCTAGTGGTGGATCCTCCGGGTGCAGCCTGTCAACGCAGCCATAGAAAGCATGAAGCTCTCTCCTCTCTGCGTCATCGATAGGAAAGCCTGATCGGTATGTGCGCTGTACGGCGATCTATTTAGTCAATCCACCTCATTACTTTTATTGATATTAACGCTGTCTTTGTATTTATTCATAAACCTAGGGCCAATCCAATGATTAAGGGACATCTGCTGTTTTGCTTCACCGGATAAAGTGTATTTATCGGCACAACTGCTGTTGATCCTGCCTAAATGTTTGGGCTGCTGCTACTGTGTTGCTGCTTCTGATTGCTGCTTCTGGCCAGCTTTGCGTCGCCTACTGCGGAGGCTCGCTCACCAGTTAAAGTGCTACTTTAATTGCACGCCTTCCTGCTGCCTTGCTTGGGCCGACACTCGAAGTGTGGAAGTCATTGAACTCTGGGGCTAACTCCCCCCTATAACTTGTCCTTACCTTGGCCAACTTGATTTAAATTAGTTTGTTTATTTTATTCTAGTTAATTGTTTATTTTGTTTACTTGAACCTTTTATCTTGTGATTTGTTTTATTCTTAAATGTTTACACAAGTTATCTGTTTGAGAACATATTTGCTATTGTGTTTGTTTATTACTTTGATTTACTTATTTAGCCCCCATTAACTGCATTTCCCTCTTTGTTCCCATACTTAGTTACTGAGAGCTGAAGGTGGTGGTGCTGGTGTCCAAGGTGGTGGTTTTCCTCTCTTCTTTTGTGTGTGATGTGCTCCCCCGGGATTTGATTTCCTGCACGTATGACTGGGGTGATTTAAGTTTGGTTTGTTTGGGGATCCTTCCACTCACTCGTCGACCCTACCCCCCCACTGGTAAGCCTCAGCCCCTAATTCATTTTTTCCCTTTGTGCTACAGCCCTGTGTGACTGTTTTAACCTGCATTTTAAACTATTGACTTATGCTAAATAAAATTGTATATTTTTGATAAATTGAAACCACGTCTCCGGCTCCATTAGTATTCGAACCTATGTGTCCTCTGAAAAAGTGTTAATATTTCCTTGGGTGAAACTCCCAAGGTGGCGTTGTCGGAATTGTGAATGGTGTAATCAAACCAACTTGAACAAATACATTCACCTATCCTCCCCTCTGCGGCTACTGCCACACATGGTTTTAACTAACAGAACTAGAGTCACTTTTAATTAACCATTTTAGATCCCCCCCCCCATTTAAGGTATTTTTATTGATTCCATTGTGACGAGCTCCATACACACACACACATACATACACCTGCACACATCCACACACACCAACCCACACATACACACCCCCCTCCAGAGACCTTGGGTTGGGGAGATCTGCTTTTAAACATACTCTGCCGCCGTTCCATGGTCCAGCCCCGTCCTGCACTTTTTAACCAGTCTTTTACCACAGTCTTGTTTAAATAGAGCTTTGACAACGCTTTTAAAGGGTTTTTTACAAGGTCTTTGTAGGGCTTTTAGATCGTTATGGAGTTTTTTCATGTTTTTTTTAAACACCCTAAGCTACCGAGAGCCAGTGCACCACGCTCTTCCCTAACCTAACCCTAACCAAGTCTTCACACTAACATTAATGATTCCCCTCATGGGGACCTCCATTATGTCCCCATAAGGGAGGCGAGTCCCCACACGTGACTGTGTAAACAGATGTAGGTCCCCACAAGGATAGTAATGCTAGGCCACACACACACACACACACACACACACACACACACACACAGGTGGAGGTTTCAGTATTTGCTTTTATTGTTTGCTGAACAACATGTTTGTTGACACTCGGATGTTTGTTCGATCTTCTTTCGCCCTACATCGGTGGTGGTAGATCGACCGCCATTTCTAGAGAGGATTTCTTATGACAGAAATCTGTGAGGAAACAAAATCAGTGAGTCAGCAGAGGACTCTTTAAAGTAGAGACACTACATACTGATATACACCTGAACATCAGCAGGAGAGGACTCTTTAAAGTAGAGACACTACATACGGATATACACCTGAACATCAGCAGGAGAGGACTCTTTAAAGTAGAGACACTACATACGGATATACACCTGAACATCAGCAGGAGAGGACTCTTTAAAGTAGAGACACTACATACTGATATACACCTGAACATCAGCAGGAGAGGACTCTTTAAAGTAGAGACACTACATACTGATATACACCTGAACATCAGCAGGAGAGGACTCTTTAAAGTAGAGACACTACATACTGATATACACCTGAACATCAGCAGGAGAGGACTCTTTAAAGTAGAGACACTACATACTGATATAAATATTTACCTGCGACTCCATCGTAGATGAACGGCTGGTCGTGGTCGAATCCCAAACACTCTGCCATTTTCCTGTGAGTATCGTGATCTGCTTTCATGTGATCCACATCCTGATGGTGACCCTCCTTCCCTGAAACACACACACACACACACACACACACACACACACACACACACACACACACACACACAGTTTAGTTTCCATGAGGAATTATTTTATTTGTTTCTGATTTAATGTACAGATCAATCTATGAATACTATACCAAAGATACTATACTGTACTATCCACTTCATTATATTATAAAATACTATACTACAGAAAACTGTCCTACTCTCCTTTACTATACAACACAATGTTATACTGTTCTCTATACTATAATTTAAGCTACTGTTTTAAACATTTCTATAGTATACTTTAATATACATGACTACTATACTATATTATACGATACAACATTTCATACAGCAAACTAGTTTACACTATACTAAAAATGCTATAATATATACGATATAATACTACATGCTTATATATCTATACTGAAGATAATATCATACTACACTATATACAGTTGTGTGTGTGTGTGAGTGTGTGTGTATTTACTGTAGTTCAGCAGGGAGTTCACCATTGACTTCGGCTTGATCATAACCATCATGCAGTTAGGACACGTCTCGTAGAAATTCACAATCGCGGTTTCATTGTAGGGATAGAGGACTCCATCAACCTCAAACTCTGACACACACACACACACACACACACACACACACACACAAATACATGACAGTTACATCAACCGTGAATATGCTGTTTTATCTTTCTAAAATAAACAAAACGTACGTGTGTGTGTGTCTGTGTGTGTTTGTGAGTGTGTTTGTGAGTGAGTGTGTGTGTTTGTGTGTGTGTTTGTGCTTGTGTGTGTACTTGTGTGTTTGTGTACTTGTGTGTGCTTGTGAGTGTGTGTGCTTGTGAGTGTGTTTGTGAGTGAGTGAGTGTGTGTGTGTTTGTGAGTGTGTGTGTGTGTGTGCTTGTGTGTGTGTGTGTGTGTTTGTGAGCTTGTGTGTGTGTACTTGTGTGTGTGTGTGTGTGTGTGTGACTCACTGCCTTCGATGGGGTGCGTTGTTTGGTTGGGGTTGTGCAGGAGCTCCATGGACATGTTATTGAAGTTGTTGATGCAGTTGTTGTTACTAAAACACACACCAGTTAGAAATACACAACATACACACACTACACACTACACACCAGAGAACTACATTAAATATATACATTATCATTTTATTAAATTAATCTATTCATTGTTGAAATTGCTTTTTATATTTCTACGTTTCTATTAACATATTTAATCTATTTTTCTCTCTTCATTAACTCATTCTATTTAACCTGTTTGAGTCTTTTTTATTCACTTTTCATATTTTCCAGATGTTTTTATTTACAAATTATTATTATATATATATATATATATATTTTATACTAATATTTTACTTTTACTTTTCTTTGATTTATTATTGTTTTTTATATTTTTAAATTGGGCCATTCACATATTCAATCTATAATGTCCTTCTATTCATATTTCCACATTTGTATTTATATGTGTTATTTCTGACCTGAAGCGCTTCCTCTCGCTGAACATCAGGGTCTGATTGTCCTCCTGAAGTCTGATCTCTGCATGGGAGCTGCTGAGGTTCTTCAGGAGGTCCTGACCATGTTGGTGGTCCGAAACCGACCAGACCAGGACCCAGTCCCCCAAAATCTGTAGACCAGCAGGGAATAATTAACATAGATAAAATGTTTTATGGTCTTATTTTAACAATGCGATCACATGACTCCTTCTGACTGACTAGAATGAGTTGACCAAAAGAAAAAAGTTGACCAAAAACATTTTGACTAAAAAAAAAGTCAACTACAAAAATTAAAAGTCAACTACAAAAAAAGTTGACCAAAAGAAAGTTGACTAGTTGACAATAACTGCCCACTGCTCCTGGTGCTAGACTCCTGGTGCTAGACTCCTGGTGCTAGGATGGGTTAACCGAAGAGAACAAATGTCACTCTGTGCTCTGCATGTGAGACCATTAAAGAGGGTTTCATCCCTCCCATTCTTTCTTTCTTTCTAAAACTTCTTTAGTAACATACGTAGTATATATACATTTCCTTGACAAGAACTGAACAACTCTTCGTATTCTCCACAAAAATGTGTGTTATAGTGAACCAAAAGTCGTGATAGAGGCTTGCTTGTCAACATCTGGGTATTTCTGCACTGGTGGGCCATGTTAACAATAGCGTGTCCCTGTGACGCTCTGAGGGGTGAAACCGTGTCCTCCTGACGTCTCACAGCGTGGAACAAAGTGACACATGTCTGTCCTGATACTGGGTTGATTTTATCATCTAAAAATATTTGTTTACTTTGCAAACAAAGTGCCACAATAAAGACAACTGTTAAACACAGAGAAATAACAAATCCAAATAAACTAATGAGAGCAGAGACGCCTCCTGCAGACAGACGTCAGTGTCCTGATGCGTTCAAGTTCATACTTTAATAGGAATTACCCCCTTTCTCCTGAAGGGAGACTTTTGGGCGTGTTAGCACCTGTGAGACACCGTAAAATAAATGATGGGTCTCACCTGCTGCAGGTCGTCTTTGGCAAGCATCTTTAGGACCTGGCAGTGATCGGGGTCCGCAGGCTTTTGATCCGTGTGATTGTGATTGTGATCGTGATCGTGATCGTGATCGTGATCGTGATGGTGGTCTGGCTTCGCGTTAGCAACAGCGAGCAGCAGCAGCAGCAGCAGCGCTCCCTTTAAGACTTTCATCCTGAGACACAAATCAAAAAACCAAATGCACCCTCTGGTATCTGTGAAGACACTGATCCAGGAGACGGCTGAACGGTTTATATACCGAGCTCCAGAGACCCGAGAGACCCCGAGCCAGGACAAAGTCTGTGTGCTCAGAGTGTTATTGAACTCTGATATAACTCCTGGCCCACTTTCTTAATGTGTAAAAAGGTTAAAAACACAGCGAGGCGGACAGCCATGGTCTCACGTCTCACATCTTATATCATATAGCAGTTTGTTTGTATGTATGTATTTGTGTATAGATGTTGCAACTATGCAGAGCTTTAGCAATACTGTATGTAACTATGGTCATGCTAATAAAGCTGTTGAATTGAATTGAATTAAAATGAATTGAATTGAATTGAAATGAATTGAATTGAATTGAATTGAATTGAAATTAATTGAATTGAATTGACTGCAGAGAAACACTGAACATCTGAAACATAAAATACAGCAGGAAGTTGTTACAACACATCTCTTAACAATAAACAATGTTTTTATATCTGCATAATTTCTGAAGCTGCAGAGTTTCTGGTGATGATGGAGAGGTCTGTCCCTGCAAGGCCACCGTAGAAACCGTTTCAAGATTATATTTGGTGTTACTTTTAAAAATAAAACTCTAAAATAATAAAATAAAAATACAAAATAATCAAATATAAAAAATTGAGTTCACTTCATATTTTGGTGTGTTTTGTATTTTATTCCTATACCATATTTGTTATATTAATAAAAGTATGTTTATAAATGTTAAATGTTTAAATATGATGTGGCTATTTTTTGTATTATTATTTTTTATTTTGCAGCACACGTTTTGTAGTTCCTGCATTAATTGTACAAACAGCATTAATCTTATTAACATATTTTAGGGTTTCATTATCGAATTATCTCGTGGAATAAATGGGTTAATAGAAGGATTAAGCAACATAAAAACATCTGTGTTTTTTAATCATGAACGTGAACTGGAGGTTTTTCCATGAAAGCTGCCGGTTAAAGTCTAACGGACAAACACACCAACGTCCGCCGACACACACTGACAAACAAACACACCAACGTCCGCCTACACACACTGACAAACAAACACACCAACGTCCGCCTACACACACTGACAAACAAACACACCAACGTCCGCCTACACACACTGACAAACACACACACACACACACACACACACACACACACACAGACACACAAACACACACAGACATATACACACACACACGCACAGACACACCATACATAGACACACACACACACACACACACACACAGACACACAAACACACACAGACACATACACACACACACACGCACAGACACACCATACATAGACACACACACACACACACACACACACACACACACACACACACACACACACACACACACACACACACACACATCCAAAGTCAAACCAGGTTTTGGCATCTTATACTCCATTTATACGAGACGGCTTGGTGTCATTGGTAGGTAGTGATGTCAGAGTTCCAATCAAAATCTTACGGGACACAGGGGCTTTTGACTTCTATATTGTTGACTCTGTTTTGCCGTTGTCTGGTGAAAGTGACACAGGTGACACAGTTCTGAGTTGGGGGATGGGATTAAAAGTTCTTCCTATTCCTGTTCATAAGGTGTATATTGACTGTGACCTTGTTAAAGGTGAAGTAGCTGTTGGTGTACGTTCAGCTTTGCCAATCGAGGGGAAACATTTTATTCTGGGCAACGGTTTGGCAGGTGGCAGAATCTGGACTGATGTTCCCCCTGCGCCTTTAGTGACTGGTGGTCTGATTGAGTCTGGGTTTGAGGAGAGCTCTACAGTGGTGCCAGAGGTCACGTCCTCCTGCGTGATCCCGTGTGCTATGGCCAAAGCTATGCTGTGTAGAAGCCAGAAGGCCAGGCATTGCTCCACTGGTCGGGGTGGTTGTGGTGGCGGCGGCTTTGATGGTGTTCGTGGTGGTGGCGGCTTTGATGGTGGTCGTGGTGGTGACGGCTTTGATGGTGGTCGTGGTGGCGGCGGCTTTGATGGTGGTCGTGGTGGCGGCGGCTTTGATGGTGGTCGTGGTGGTGGCGGCTTTGATGGTGGTCGTGGTGGCGGCGGCTTTGATGGTGGTCGTGGCGGCAGCGGCAGCAGGGGTCGAGGACGTGGCAAGACTCTCACCGGTGGATATCGATTTTATGGCTTTCCAAAATGTCCTAGGATTATTTAGGTTTTCTGTAGTAACTGACAAATAGTACTTCGACTTAGCACTTTTGACCTGTGAAGTGAAGCTATTTCTTAGCTGCCTAAAACGCAGCCATTCTACCTCTGAGCCTGATTTCCTAGCCTTTGCCCAGGCCTTGTTTCTCTCATGCAGGAGACTGGACAGTTCAGCAGGAAACCAAGGATTGTCTCGTCCCTTTACTCTAAATGTACGTAGGGGTGCATGTCTATCAATGATCTCCATTAAACCAAGATACAAATAAGACCATGCAGTTCTACATCAGCACACAGATCGATTTTTCCCCAATCAAACCCAAACAGATCATGAACAAAACCCTGCTCCACAAAATGTTTTATGTGTCTCTTAATAATAATACGAGGTTTAACCTTTTGGACCTTAGTGTCCCTAATTGTGTCTACAACACAGTGGTCACTCACATCATTTGCAAATACTCCCACAGATGAGTATTTATAGGGAACATTAGTTAGAATGAGATCAATTAGGGAGGATTTATTAGGGGACTTAATGTTAGGGCGAGTAGGACTGTCAACAATCTAAGTAACATTCAGAGAGATACAAAGGTTTTTAAAATCCTCTGATACTGCAGTTAACCAGTCCCAGTTAAAATCTCCAAGTAGCACTATTTCCTTATAGTCTAGTTGCGATAAAAGTTTTGCTAGTGAAGACAAGGAGTCCTTGACAGCTGAGGGGGTCTGTAACAGCCCACCACCATGACTTGTTGCCCCTTTGCCACTTCTATATTTAAGGCTAAACATTTGAATTGCTTACTGATAGATTTGGAAACTAATGTGGTTACACTGAACTTATTCTTAACATAAATGGCAACGCCACCACCTTTATTAGGCCGGTCGGTACGATACACATTATAACCATTTAAGGATATGTCAGAGGCCAAAATAGTTTTATTTAGCCATGTTTCTGATAACACAATGACGTCAGCGTCAGTCGAGCTTGCCCAAATGCGGACAAAATCTAGTTTACCTAACAGACTGCGCACATTCAAGTGGATGAAACCCAACCCAGACCTAGCTTTAAAATCAGCAGGAGTAGCGATCTGACTACTACTACTGGGCGGACCAGGGTTAGGTTGAACATTTCCTGACAGTAATAACAACAAAAAAACCAGGCATCTTTTCCTCTTAATCGACACACATACATTATCATCTACTTTAGAATCACCGGAAAAGTCTGCGAGAGTGTGATTAGAGTTTAAGAAGCAGTCCTGAAGAACCATCATCGCAGGCAAACAAAAAAGACAAACATATTTTGTCGAGCAGATTGTCTGCGACAAGGCAACGGGTAACTGTTTGTGTAACACATCCGACCCTTTGCAGGGGATGCCCACTGCGGGTGGCAGAACAGACCTGAATCCAGTAGACTTCTCAGAATGACTAGAGATCTTCTCATTGTCCAGAACAGTTAACAGGCACAGCAGAATTACGATATGGGCCATTTTCCCAGCCCAGCACACAGTATCCGCGATGTTCCTGGGGCAAAAATCCTCCTCCTCACAGCAGCAAAGGACAGGCGAAAGCAGCAGCGTGGAAGCGCTCCGGTCTCTCCGTGGTATCCCCGGGGTAAAAGGTCTCCTCAGCAAAGCAGCACACGACACTGCAGCACACGACAGGTGGGAGCAGGCCTCCGCAACAGCAGAACCAGGACAGGTGGAAAGCAGGCCTCAGCCGCGGCAAATCCTCCTCCGCACAGCAGCACACGCCCGGTGGAAGCAGGCCCCAGCCCGAAGCGTGGAGCCACTCCGTCTCACCGCGATGTCTCCGGGATCAAATCCTCCTCAGTACAGCCGTACTCTACAGGTGGGAGCAGGCCTCCGCAGATCGTAGATGACCTGATTGTGGTTTCAGTAGTGTGTAGGATTCAGGCCTCTGTCTGTCGGTCTGTCGGCTAGCCTTTGACGATATATCCAATCGTATTTACATTGAATACCCGTCTTTAGCCACACAAAGTAATGTTATATCATTATTAGAAGTTACCAGAAACTGCAGAAATCACTGAAATGTTTGGTCTCTGAGCCCAACCCACGAGCTGCGTTAGCGAGCGGCTCGGTGGCCACCTGTTCCAATCAGTGTGGCGTTCAGGAGCTCCTCGAGCAATGAAATCTTGCAGTAGTCGGCGGCTGCCAGTATGTTTATAAATGTTAAATGTTTAAATATGATGTGGCTATTTTTTGTATTATTATTTTTTATTTTGCAGCACACGTTTTGTAGTTCCTGCATTAATTGTACAAACAGCATTAATCTTATTAACATATTTTAGGGTTTCATTATCGAATTATCTCGTGGAATAAATGGGTTAATAGAAGGATTAAGCAACATAAAAACATCTGTGTTTTATAATCATGAACGTGAACTGGAGGTTTTTCCATGAAAGCTGCCGGTTAAAGTCTAACGGACAAACACACCAACGTCCGCCGACACACACTGACATACAAACACACCAACGTCCGCCTACACACACTGACAAACACACACACACAAACACACACACACACACACACACCACACACACACACACACACACACACACACACACACACACACACACACACACACACACACACACACACACACACACACACACACACACACACACGCACAGACACACATAGACAAACAAACACACACACATACATACACACACACACACACACACACACACACACACACACACACACACACACACCACACACACACACACACACACACACACACACACACACACACAAACACACACACACATCCAAAGTCAAACCAGGTTTTGGCATCTTATACTCCATTTATACGAGACGGCTTGGTGTCATTGGTAGGTAGTGATGTCAGAGTTCCAATCAAAATCTTACGGGACACAGGGGCTTTTGACTTCTATATTGTTGACTCTGTTTTGCCGTTGTCTGGTGAAAGTGACACAGGTGACACAGTTCTGAGTTGGGGGATGGGATTAAAAGTTCTTCCTATTCCTGTTCATAAGGTGTATATTGACTGTGACCTTGTTAAAGGTGAAGTAGCTGTTGGTGTACGTTCAGCTTTGCCAATCGAGGGGAAACATTTTATTCTGGGCAACGGTTTGGCAGGTGGCAGAATCTGGACTGATGTTCCCCCTGCGCCTTTAGTGACTGGTGGTCTGATTGAGTCTGGGTTTGAGGAGAGCTCTACAGTGGTGCCAGAGGTCACGTCCTCCTGCGTGATCCCGTGTGCTATGGCCAAATCTATGCTGTGTAGAAGCCAGAAGGCCAGGCATTGCTCCACTGGTCGGGGTGGTTGTGGTGGCGGCGGCTTTGATGGTGGTCGTGGTGGCGGCGGCTTTGATGGTGGTCGTGGTGGCGGCGGCTTTGATGGTGGTCGTGGCGGCAGCGGCAGCAGGGGTCGAGGACGTGGCAAGGAGATGTTCTGTTATCGGTGTGGAGATCAAGGACATTTGGCCAGGGACTGTGACCAAACGGAGGATGTGTGCTACAACTGCAACAAACCAGGCCACATGGCTCGTGACTGTGGGCATGCCAACGACCGGAGGTGCTACTCCTGCGGGGGGCTTGGTCACATTAAGAGACGTTGTGAGAAGGTGGTATATTGTTATTAGGGTTCGTTGAGACGGGGTGCCAGATGTATGTTTTGTTTTCTATGACTTTTTGTTTTTGTTTGGGATGGGGTTGGTTCGTTGTGCCGGTGGTCCGGGGGACACCGACTTTAAGGGGGGGGGTGTGACGACCCCTGCTTTAAGGTCTCCTGTGGTGTGTGTGTATGGCCCTTTAATGTTCCTCCTCTGCTTGTGTCCGTCTGATTGAGGACACCTGACGCCCTGATTGAGGACACCTGACGCCCTGATTGAGGACACCTGACGCCCTGATTGAGGACACCTGACGCCCTGATTGAGGACACCTGACCGCTGGCAGAGGATTAAGAGGCCTGAGCCAGAGGTTGCATTCGAATAGTCCATTTAGCTTAGGAACCTTCCTAACGGAGTGAAATGACCCGGAAGTCCCTCAGTGGCAGCCATGATAAGTGCCGTTCGAATTCTCTAAATTAAAAGGAAAGGAGGTTTCAAACTTCCTTTACAACCTCCTTTAGCTTAGGAACCACTGGACCTCCCTAACCGAAAGGAGAGGAGAAAATGCTGCCCCACAATGCCTTGCGGCCGCAGCATTTGCCGTCACACAACAGTCGGCCGTTCACGGAAACAACCGATTATGAACGAGAAATGATATCATGAAAGTTACGGTGCTTATTAAGCATTTTAAAACGTATGTGGTAAGTTGCCAAAGTGCTTTGTTTTGAACGTTCATCAGTATTATAATCAAAAAGAGAAATATGAACGTTAGTTTTTACTGAAATGATCAAATAAAGTCAACATTTCACAGTCTTTACTGAGCTGTGTGGGGTTTGTTCAACTTTTAAAAGATGTTTGAATGGTGATATACACAGTGATAGATGTTAAGGACTAACGTTTATAATAAATACATTTGTATTGATTTTAAGATCTTTTCATATAATCATATGTATTGGGATCATTTGTATTAATGTGGACCGGAGGGAGAGGGTGACGAGCATAAGTTTCACTTTCCTTTTTTATTTCAATTCCAACTTTGGTCATGAAGAATATGTTTCTCTGTTGTCCCCGTTCATAAAGCATAAAACAACAGCATCAGAGCACGGTGCAGAGTCTCTAGATGAGTTTACAGTAGTCCCTCGTTCTTATTAAACATCCATGTTGTAGTCCGCTGTATAGAAAACTGTAGTTTCCATAGTTTCCCCACAGCAGCAGGCGCACATTTATGACCTCTGCTGGCGCATCATAAACACGTCGGATAGTGAAAGTGCAGTCGGATTCTCTAAAGTGCCGCAGTCTCTTCTCCTAAATCCTTTTGAATTCTCCTATCCACTATCCCTTAACCCCATGACGTTTCACTCCGAGGTCAAGGAATAGACGATAGGGTTAGAACTTAGGAGCTGTTTTTTTGGAGTATTCGAACGCAACCAGAGTCTCGATCTCTCTCTCCCGCAGAGGACCTGACCTCGGAGCAGCCACGTCGCTTCGTCTTTTGTTTTTCCTTTGTGTTAGTTTTTGGTTTACGTTAAGCTTCTGTTAATAAATATATTTTTCATATATGTTCTTGTCCTTCCCACGCTTTTTGTTATGGCTAAGAGGCAGGCCATGACAGTATGTATGTATTTGTGTATAGATGTTGCAACTATGCAGAGCTTTAGCAATACTGTATGTAACTATGGTCATGCTAATAAAGCTGTTGAATTGAATTGAATTAAAATGAATTGAATTGAAATGAATTGAAATGAATTGAATTGAAATGAATTGAATTGAATTGAATTGAAATGAATTGAATTGAATTGAATTGAAATGAATTGAATTGAAATGAAATGAATTGAATTGAAATGAATTGAATTGAATTGAAATTAATTGAATTGACTGCAGAGAAACACTGAACATCTGAAACATAAAATACAGCAGGAAGTTGTTACAACACATCTCTTAACAATAAACAATGTTTTTATATCTGCATAATTTCTGAAGCTGCAGAGTTTCTGGTGATGATGGAGAGGTCTGTCCCTGCAAGGCCACCGTAGAAACCGTTTCAAGATTATATTTGGTGTTACTTTTAAAAATAAAACTCTAAAATAATCAAATATAAATACAAAATAATCAAATATAAAAAATTGAGTTCACTTCATATTTTGGTGTGTTTTGTATTTTATTCCTATACCATATTTTTTATATTAATAAAAGTATGTTTGTTTGTTTGTTTGTAGCCTTTATTTAACCAGGTTAAAAAATCCCATTGAGATCAACAATCTCTTTTTCAGGGGAGACCTGCGGTACATTAGTTACACATAAAAACAACAGAAAACAAAAGGACATCACAACATAATTACAGGGGTATACATTAGCAACCTATTTACAGTGACAGGTATCCAATAACATTTCATCCAGCCGTGCTTTAAAATGATGCAAGGGAATCAAAATGCTCAGTGTCAATGTTTTTTGCATAGTGTTCCAAGCTAGAGGAGCAGCGCACATAAAAGCTTTAGTACCTAAAACAGTCCTAGCACTTGGCACATGTAATAAAAACACATCCTGGGATCTCAGGCAATAGCTACTTGCCACTCTCCGTGAGATCAACGAGCATATATAAGTCGGTAGTTTACCCAGCATGGCTTTATATATGAATATGTACCAATGACTGAGCCTCCGACCAGTAAGTGAAGGCAGACCTGCCTTGGCATACAGGGTACAGTGATGAGTAAGTGCTTTACAGTTAGTAACAAATCTCAGAGCACTGTGATAGGCGGCATCTAACCTTTCCAGGCAATGGGCAGGTGCATTCATATAGATCAAATCACCATAGTCTAGCACAGGTAAAAAGGTCACAGTGACTAGCCTTTTTCTGGCTTCAAAAGAGAAACAGGACTTGTTTCTGAAAAAGAAACCTAGTCTAACCCTCAGCTTTTTAAGCAGATTAGTGACCTGAAGTTTAAAAGTAAGACAATCATCAAGCCAGATACCAAGGTATTTATAACAGCTAACCACTTGGAGTACTTGTCCTTGCATAGTCACAATATCCAAAGCAGTCTCTGGAGTCTTTTTAGCTTTAGAAAAGAGCATTACCTTGGTTTTATCAACATTTAAAAGAAGCTTTAGTTCAGAGAGCTGAGTCTGAATAATGTTAAAAACAGCCTGTAATTTAACAACCGCCTCCTTAATGGAGGGACCTGCACAGTACATCACGGTATCATCCGCATAAAAATGTAAAGTAGCTTCATCCACATTTTCACCTAAACTATTGATATAGATGGAGAATAAAAGTGGACCTAAAACAGAACCTTGAGGAACACCATTAGCAATGTTCAACCACTCAGAGGACAGCCCATCAAAGTGAACACATTGGGACCTTTCAGAGAGGTAGTTCACAAACCACCCCACTGCATGGCTGGATAAGCCAATACTGAGTAGCCTCTGCTTTAAGATGCGATGATCGACGGTGTCAAACGCTTTGGAAAGGTCAATAAATAGAGCTGCACAACTCTACTTTTTATCTAAAATACTTGTAATGTCATTCACCACTTTCATTGTGGCAGTGATGGTGCTATGTTGCTTTCTGAAGCCTGACTGATGTTTAGACAGGATATTATTTTTACATAAAAACACCTTTACCTGCTCACTCACTTGGCGTTCAAGAACCTTCGCCAGAACTGACAATTTCGAGATTGGCCTATAGTTATTTAAAACAGTTGCCTCCCCTCCTTTTAGCAAAGGCAGGACATAAGCTGACTTCCATACTTTTGGAATTGCATTTGTGCTGAGGGAGAGGTTAAAAAGAGAAGTAAGAGGTGGAGCAATAAAATCTGCAGCTATCTTTAAAAAGAAAGGTTCTACGTTGTCCGGGCCAGCCGGTTTCTTAGGATCTAACTTAGATAATGCTTCATGAACAACATTTACAGTAAAAGGAGTAAAACTGAAAGGGTTTTCCAGATCACATTGTTCAGAGTCACAGACTGTGGTGTTCACAGTAGCAGAATTAGTCACAGAATCAAACATAGAACCGCAGGACACAAAATGCTCATTAAAACAATTTAACATAGTGGCCCTGTCCGATATAGAGCCAGATGCTGTGGTAATGCACGGAGGTAGCTCATTTCGGATCTCACCGGTGGATATCGATTTTATGGCTTTCCAAAATTTCCTAGGATTATTTAGGTTTTCTGTAGTAACTGACAAATAGTACTTCGACTTAGCACTTTTGACCTGTGAAGTGAAGCTATTCCTTAGCTGCCTAAAACACAGCCATTCTACCTCTGAGCCTGATTTCCTAGCCTTTGCCCAGGCCTTGTTTCTCTCATTCAGGAGACTGGACAGTTCAGCAGGAAACCAAGGATTGTCTCGTCCCTTTACTCTAAATGTACGTAGGGGTGCATGTCTATCAATGATCTCCATAAAACCAAGATACAATTAAGACCATGCAGTTCTACATCAGCACACAGATCGATTTTTACTTGACTTCTATATTGTTGACTCTGTTTTGCCGTTGTCTGGTGAAAGTGACACTGGTGACACAGTTCTGAGTTGGGGGATGGGATTAAAAGTTCTTCCTATTCCTGTTCATAAGGTGTATATTGACTGTGACCTTGTTAAAGGTGAAGTAGCTGTTGGTGTACGTTCAGCTTTGCCAATCGAGGGGATACATTTTATTCTGGGCAACGGTTTGGCAGGTGGCAGAATCTGGACTGATGTTCCCCCTGCGCCTTTAGTGACTGGTGGTCTGATTGAGTCTGGGTTTGAGGAGAAGCTCTACAGTGGTGCCAGAGGTCACGTCCTCCTGCGTGATCCCGTGTGCTATGGCAAAAGCTATGCTGTGTAGAAGCCAGAAGGCCAGGCATTGCTCCACTGTGTCGGGGGTGGTTGTTGGTGGCGGCGGCTTTGATGGTGTTCGTGGTGGTGGTGGCTTTGATGGTGGTCGTGGTGGTGGCGGCTTTGATGGTGGTCGTGGTGGTGGCGGCTTTGATGGTGGTCGTGGTGGCGGCGGCTTTGATGGTGGTCGTGGCGGCAGCGGCAGCAGGGGTCGAGGACGTGGCAAGAATCTCACCAGTGGATATCGATTTTATGGCTTTCCAAAATGTCCTAGGATTATTTAGGTTTTCTGTAGTAACTGACAAATAGTACTTCGACTTAGCACTTTTGACCTGTGAAGTGAAGCTATTTCTTAGCTGCCTAAAACGCAGCCATTCTACCTCTGAGCCTGATTTCCTAGCCTTTGCCCAGGCCTTGTTTCTCTCATGCAGGAGACTGGACAGTTCAGCAGGAAACCAAGGATTGTCTCGTCCCTTTACTCTAAATGTACGTAGGGGTGCATGTCTATCAATGATCTCCATAAAACCAAGATACAAATAAGACCATGCAGTTCTACATCAGCACACAGATCGATTTTTCCCCAATCAAACCCAAACAGATCATGAACAAAACCCTGCTCCACAAAATGTTTTATGTGTCTCTTAATAATAATACGAGGTTTAACCTTTTGGACCTTAGTGTCCCTAATTGTGTCTACAACACAGTGGTCACTCACATCATTTGCAAATACTCCCCACAGATGAGTATTTATAGGGAACATTAGTTAGAATGAGATCAATTAGGGAGGATTTATTAGGGGACTTAATGTTAGGGCGAGTAGGACTGTCAACAATCTGAGTAACATTCAGAGAGATACAAAGGTTTTTAAAATCCTCTGATACTGCAGTTAACCAGTCCCAGTTAAAATCTCCAAGTAGCACTATTTCCTTATAGTCTAGTTGCGATAAAAGTTTTGCTAGTGAAGACAAGGAGTTCTTGACAGCTGAGGGGGTCTGTAACAGCCCACCACCATGACTTGTTGCCCCTTTGCCACTTCTATATTTAAGGCTAAACATTTGAATTGCTTACTGATAGATTTGGAAACTAATGTGGTTACACTGAACTTATTCTTAACATAAATGGCAACGCCACCACCTTTATTAGGCCGGTCGGTACGATACACATTATAACCATTTAAGGATATGTCAGAGGCCAAAATAGTTTTATTTAGCCATGTTTCTGATAACACAATGACGTCAGCGTCAGTCGAGCTTGGCCCAAATGCGGACAAAATCTAGTTTACCTAACAGACTGCGCACATTCAAGTGGATGAAACCAACCCAGACCTAGCTTTAAAATCAGCAGGAGTAGCGATCTGACTACTACTACTGGGCGGACCAGGGTTAGGTTGAACATTTCCTGACAGTAATAACAACAAAAAAAACAGGCATCTTTTCCTCTTAATCGACACACATACATTATCATCTACTTTAGAATCACCGGAAAAGTCTGCGAGAGTGTGATTAGAGTTTAAGAAGCAGTCCTGAAGCACCATCATCGCAGGCAAACAAAAAAGACAAACATATTTTGTCGAGCAGATTGTCTGCGACAAGGCAACGGGTAACTGTTTGTGTAACACATCCGACCCTTTGCAGGGGATGCCCACTGCGGGTGGCAGAACAGACCTGAATCCAGTAGACTTCTCAGAATGACTAGAGATCTTCTCATAGTCCAGAACAGTTAACAGGCACAGCAGAATCACGATATGGGCCATTTCCCAGCCCAGCACACAGTATCCGCGATGTTCCTGGGGCAAAAATCCTCCTCCTCACAGCAGCAAAGGACAGGCGAAAGCAGCAGCGTGGAAGCGCTCCGGTCTCTCCGTGGTATCCCCGGGGTAAAAGGTCTCCTCAGCAAAGCAGCACACGACACTGCAGCACACGACAGGTGGGAGCAGGCCTCCGCAACAGCAGAACCAGGACAGGTGGAAAGCAGGCCTCACATTGAATACCCGTCTTTAGCCACACAAAGTAATGTTATATCATTATTAGAAGTTACCAGAAACTGCAGAAATCACTGAAATGTTTGGTCTCTGAGCCCAACCCACGAGCTGCGTTAGCGAGCGGCTTCGGTGGCCACCTGTTCCAATCAGTGTGGCGTCAGGAGGCCTCCTCGAGCAATGAAATCTTGGCAGTAGTCGGCGGCTGCCAGTATGTTTTATAAAATGTTAAATGTTGTTTATCACATCACAGTCCAGTTCTGAAGGTCTTTGACAAACTGGTTCCTCACGACACTAAGAAAGGGGATCACATCACTCCTGTTCTGAAGTCTTTACACTGGTTCCATCAAGCTGAACACTAAAGAAAGTGGATCAACTCCTGTGTCTGAAGTCTTATAACACTAGGTTCCTCACGACACTAATAAAGTGGATTCACATCACTCCTGTTCTGAAGTCTTTACACTGTTCCTCACTGACACTAAGAAAGTGGATCTCTCCTGTTCTGAAGTCTTACACTGGTTCCTCACTGACACTAAGAAAGTGGATCACATCACTCCATTCTGAAGTCTTTACACTGTTTCCTCACTGACACTAAGAAGTGATCACATCAGTCCTGTTCTGAAGTCTTTACAACTGGTTCCCCTCACTAACACTAAGAAAGTGGATCACATCACTCCAGTTCTGAAGTCTTTACACTGGTTCCTCACTGACACTAAGAAGTGGATCACATCATTCCAGTTCTGAAGTCTTTACACTGGTTCCTCACTGACACTAAGAAAGTGGATCACTCAGTCCTGTGCTGAAGTCTTACACTGGTTCCGTCACTACACTAAGAAAGTGGATCACATCACTCCAGTTCTGAAGTCTTTACACTGGTTCCTCACTGACACTAAGAAAGTGGATCACATATCACTCCTGTTTCTGAAGTCTTTACACTGTTCCTCACTGACACTAAGAAGTGGATCACATCACTCCTGTTCTGAAGTCTTACACTGGTTCCTCACTAACACTAAGAAAGTGGATCAGTCCTGTTCTGAAGTCTTTACAACTGGTTCCTCACTGACAACTAAGAAAGTGGATCACATCACTCACCTGTTCTGAAGTCTTTACACGGTTCCTCACTGACACTAAGAAAGTGGATCACATCATCCTGTTCTGAAGTCTTTACACTAGTTCCTCACTGACACTATAAAGTGGATCACATCAGTCCTGTTCTGAAGTCTTACACTGGTTCCTCACTGACACTAAGAAGTGGATCACTCAGTCCTGTTCTGAAGTCTTACCGGTTCCTCACTGACACTAAGGAAGTGGATCACATCACTCCATTTTCTGAAGTCTTTACCACTGGTTCCTCACTGACACTAAGAAAGTGGATCACATCAGTCCTTTCTGAAGTCTTTACACTGGTTCCTCACTGACACTAAGAAAGTGGATCACATCACTCCAGTTCTGAAGTCTTTACACTGGTTCCTCACTGACACTAAGAAAGTGGATCACATCAGTCCTGTTCTGAAGTCTTGACACTGGTTCCTCCTACACTAAGAAAGTGGATCACATCACTCCGTTCTGAAGTCTTTACACTGGTTCCTCACTGACACTAAGAAAGTGGATCACATCAGTCCTGTTCTGAAGTCTTTACACTGGTTCCTCACTAACATTAAGAAAGTGGATCAGTCCTGTTCTGAAGTCTTTACACTGGTTCCTCACTGACACTAAGAAAGTGGATCACATCACTCCTGTTCTGAAGTCTTTACACTGGTTTCCTCACTGACACTAAG